ACCCCTTCAGGCCCCTCTGAGACCACCAAGGTCATGGCCCTGGGTGATCTCTCTGAGTCACACCAATCCCCCAGCCTTCCAGGAGCTGAAACACACCCACCCATAAAGCACAGCACTCTGCCCTTGAAGACCCAGGGGAAGCAAGTGAGAAGGAAGGAGGAAGGGAGGGAGGGAGGGGGATATCCTCCACCGCCATCACACCCTGTGCCCCAAGCCCAGAAGGGCCCCTTTCCTGCCTGGCAGCCCACCATCCCCGCTTCCACCCTGCCCCACAGCCTGCCTTCTGCCACGCACTTCCATTTGAAATCACACACACATTTGCGATAAATGACAGCTTGGTGCTTCCTTTACTGCCCATTTCTCCTATATGGAGACAGCTCTGAGGTCAAAGTCACCTTCTGCATTCTTCCCGGAGTGCACCCCTAGTCCTGGAGAAGCTCCCTGGGCGGCAGGTGGTCCCTCGGAGCGTGTATGTGGGCTGCTCACCAGTAGTGTTATTGTTACTATTAAGTCACTCTCTCAGAAAAACAATTGCAGAAACCAGGAGGAAGAAGAGAAAGAACTGAAGAGGAGAAGATGCGGGACTGGAGGCTGAACACAACCCCACACACAACCCCACACGAGGAGGTGTCCTCCCCCGCATCCACAGGAAGGGGTGGGTCTCCACAGTGGAGACTAGCCACTTCTTCGGGAGAGAAGGAAGCAACACTGTTGGGGGGCACTTCTCCAGCTCGGCCTCTTTCCTGGGGAGCCCAGGGGGCACTTTCCTCTCCCAGAGTGTCCTGGAGCCCAGGTAAGGAGACACAGTCGCACCCATGTGCCCTGAAGCCCAGCCCCTGCCCCCCCACTCCTCAGCACAGTGGCTTGTCAGGTTCTAGGTCCCCAGGCAGAGGCGGTGCAAGGGTCACACTCTCAGCCCACACCACTAGCACGCCCCCTCCCCTGGGGCCAGTCATGACAGGATCCCACCTGGAGGCAGTTCCTGGGCCTGGAGGACTCCCAGACATCAGCTACAGTAGCAGTCCCATCTGAGAACCAGCCAGAGTCCTGGGGGCTCCTGACTCAGGTGTTGGGGAGCATGGCAGCACACTTCCGTCCCAGACCCAGGCCAGGCTGTCCCTCGGGCCCCTGGAGCACCCCACCAGAGGGTGACCAGTGGGTGAGCAGACTCAGGGCCACCTTCCCCACGCCCACCCCCGACTCCTCCTGGGCCCTGTTGCAGGTCCCCACCACCGCTGGCCCAGAGGAGGGGCTTGCTGAAAACCAGAGGACCAGGGCCACAGAGTCATGACGTCCTCTTCACGGGCTCAGGTACACAGGCTGTGGGGGCCTCAGTTTTCTTACCTATGAAATGGGAATACAAGGCCACATCCCTCAGGGTTTCGAGAGGATACAGTGAGTAGCAGACAGGCGGTGCTGAGCACAGGATCAGCATGCCGTAGGCCCCCTGGGGTGGCCGTTGCTGGCATCACCTTATCCAGTTAAGACCAATGGGCAGAGGACACCTCTTTTGGGTCACAGGGGGAGAAGCCCTCAGGCAAGGCAGCAGTTTCCTGCCCCCCCAACCCCGCTTCCGCTTTGCACCCCATACTCCAGTTTAACAGATCCCATAATTTTTAATTTGTTTTCTCCTCCCCTGGCTAAAAGGCCATTAGCACCCCATTAGGTAAAAGAATCCCATTTTCTTCACACCACCAAGGAAACAGTGATTTACTTAGCCATCCTTAATGCAATTCTGCAGAATAAAGGCAATTTTGCAATGGTCTCAATAAACTTCCCCATTTGCTCTCTGCTCACAGACCCCACTCTAAGGAGCCTACCAGCTGACCCAGCCCCTTGCTCCCTCAGAAGGCTGGACTCTGCTAGGGCCCAGGACAGTCAGTGTGGGGCGCAGGCAGCTCCCAGAGGCCAGAAGGGCTTAGGGGGACCCAGGTGAGCCTGGTGAAGCACACCACCACTCGTCCCTGGCCAGAGAGGGAAGGGGCAGAAAGAAAAACAAAGAGGTCGGCAGAGCAGTCTTCCTGGCTGAGGGGCTGCGCTGGCACCCGCTGGTCCCAGCAGAAGTGGCACACCCAGGTCCGACGGCAGAGGGGCAAGGCCCGCAGCCTGGAGAGCAGGCTGTCAGTCATAGCCAGTACTGGGAGTGAGAGGCCCTAGGGGCGTGCAGGCACAGGGGGCAGGTCTCTCCTTGTGGGCAGAGGTGCTGAGCAAAACGGGACCCCAGAAGCCAGGCCAGGAAGATGGGAGGTGCGAGGCCTCGTGAGGAAGAGCAGGGGGTCAGGGAGAAGGTGCTGGGTGAGCGGTCAGCCTGAGACATTCAGGGAGAGCCCTGGAAGCTGGGAATCAGTCTCTTCATCCATGCCACGGGGACGTCTGTACCTGCACTGGAGCAGTAAAACGCCACACACTCTTCTGAGAACAACTTCTAGATGGGAGTTCTTTAGCCCTGGATCCAGGATGCCCCAGGTGGACAGGCTGTGCCCCCCTGAGCGTGAGTAGGGAGGAGCAGGTGTCCCTGTGTATACACGCGGGGGTCGCAATGTGTGGGAGTAGCAGGGAGGGGGGCTGGGTTTCCCAGATAAGGGTGTAGTGTGAGGGGCCGAGCATGGGTGTGAGTGTGTCCACAGGCCTCATGATCACATATCCTTGAGAAAGGGCAGTGGTGTCTCAGTGATCACCAAGAGTGAGTGTGAGAGTGTGTGAGCATGGATTGAAGAGCGTGTGTGTGTGCCCATGTGTGCCCTCACACAGATACCAGAGTGTGGGTGAGGAGTACTGCCCGACTCCGGGAGTCTGTGTCTGGGATGGCACCTTTTTCTGAAGGCGTGTGCATTCTTACACAATGAGAGTGTGTACACGTGGAGGGGGCACACCCTAGGGGTCTGGTGATGTCCTATGACCTTGGTCTGAGCACCCCTGAGCCCTCTAGCCCATCCCTGCCAGCCCTGGGGCAGTGCTTTGCTTCCCCAACACTGGGGTCCAGGCCACTGCCGCTCCATCTGGTTGCCTCCCTTCCCCGCCTCTCATCAGTCATCCAGCAGAGAAGCGAGCTTCCGGTCTGGGGGAGGTAGGTCTAGGCCGGCAGCGAGGGCTTTCATCCCCTAGAGACCCAGCCCATCCCCCAGGTAACAGGCACGGCCACTGAAGGGCTGCGTCCACAAGGGGGCGCCCCGAGGCCGGGCTACTCCCAGCCTGGGCGAGTCCCGGGGCAGTGGCCCCGGCTCATTCGCGGCAGTCTCGGCACCACACCGAGAGCGCTCCAGAACTGCCACTCTGAGTAGTGTGCCCGCAGGCCTCTCCAAAGGCCGAGCTGTCTCCTCCTGAGTACCGCGGGGCCACCTCTCCACTCTCAGTGTCGTCAATCACGGTTTCTTACTCATCCTGTTGGAAGAGTGGGTGGGGCAGGAGACCTGCTTTCCCTGGACTGGAGGGCCTTTCTCCCACCACCCAACTCCTTGAGTCCAGGCTGTGAAAAAGCCACTTGCATTCCTACCAAGCGTCACAGGTCCATGCTAGCGGCCCCGCTCCCAGTCCAGTCCTAGCCTCAGCTGGGCACCTTGGCTGAGCACAGGACAGGCATGGGAAGTCCTCTGCTAGGTTCTGAGGCCGCCCAGTCCACCCTGGCTTCGGCCTCTCACCCACAAAATTGCAACGCAGAGTTACAAGAGATCTTCTGAACGCCTTGTCTGTGTTTACTTCTGCCCTGTCTTCAACCTTCTCCTGACTGTTTCCACCTCACAGCACCCTGACCCCAGACTCCCAAAGCTTCCCCCATTCTTCCCCAGGGCATGGAAAGGATTTCTCCCTTGCCTTTCCTGTGATGGGCTGGGGGCCCATCCTAGTGTAAGTATCTGACTCTTGAGCTTAGGATCCAGTCATACAAATGAAACCTTGGGCAGGCCTGTGAACCCACCGTCTGTGCAGGACCCAGGGCCAGAAGCAGGGAACCACTCACTGCCTCTGGTATTCCCAAAGGCCGCAGGGAGGGGTGGGGAAGGGTGGCGGGGGCTACTCTCAGAGGGAAATTGAGTACATACATATAAGTCTTTAAGAAAACGAAATCGGGGACAATTTGAGAGAAACTAAAATTCGTGGCCATGGTGGGGGGAGGGGTAAGTAGCAAATTCCACAGCCTTCGGGTTCATTCACCTGTCGAGAGTTTTGGAGGTGGAGGCAGTGACCAGCCTTTGCAAAGCCACTTCGAATCCTCCCAGCACCGATGCTGACGACACACAGCCCTACTCCACTCCAGGATGGTAAAAGCGCTTGGTGCATGTTTGCCCCGAACCGTCAAATGGTGCCAAAGGCCGCATCTTCAGGTACCCCTGCGGAGCAGCAACAGGGGACTCTAAAGACGCGGGTGGGACTCGAGCCAGGGCCGGCGGCGCTGGGCCAGCCCGAGCGGGCCCTCGAGGGCAGCCTCCCTAGAAACCACAGGCTTGCGGGATTTTTACGAAGTAGGGTGGCAAAAACTCACAAGGAAAAGCAACCGTTTTAAAAAGAGCAGATCTCCTCCGCTCTCACCTGAGAGAGGATATCAGAGCTGGAGGAGAAACGCACCGACGTGGAGTGTGACAAGGAAACCAAGACGGAGCAATCGTTTACAGAAACACAACTCCTCCTGCCCCAGTGGCAGGCTCTGTAGGGCTACCTTACCCGTCCTCCCCCACCTGCACCCAAACGCCAACAAGATCCGCTCGGCTCGCCCCGAGACGCCGCTGTGGCGCGAGGGGCAACCAGGCAGGCAAGCGCGGCTGTGACTCGGGCCCTGGGCACCGGCGCCCGGCCCGTGTCCCGCTCCGGCCCGAGACCCGCCCAGCCCGGGGCCCGAGGCGCGCTACCCGCCACGCCACCCCACTCCCAGTGGAGCCCAAGCGGCCAGTAACTGCGTGGCCCGCTGCCCGCCGCGGACAGAAAGGCGCTTTCGAACGCGTCCACTCCACCGCGCGGCTCCAACTTCGCCCCGGCCGCCGCGGGCACCAGTCCCCGACAGAACTTACCTTCGCCGAGCAGGGGCAGCAGCAGAAGCAGCAACCGCAGCCCCACGGCGCTGGCCGTCGCCTTCGCCATCGCCGATGCACGCTGCGGCTGCGGCGAGAGGGACGCTTCCTTGGGCTGGGGGGCTCAGCAGCGGGGTGCGGCGCTCAGCCGGGCCGCCCCATGCCCGTCCGGGAGTGGAGGACGCAGCGAACACTGCGGGCACCGAGCGTCGGGGCGCGGGCTCCAGGGCACTCTCCGCAGCTGTGCGCGGGGCTCCGAGCACACGACTGAGGCGGGGAGGGCGCGGGCTGCGCCCGAGGCGAGAGCAGGGGCGGGGCGGGGCGGGGAGGGCGGCGGGGGGGCGGGGCCAGGGTGCGGGAGTAAGGGCGGGGCGCGGGCTACCTCCCCAGGCGATCCCTGGTGCGGTTACCCCCGAGCGAGGGTTAGGAGACCAGAGCGGGACGCGGGGTGCAGGCCGGGGTCGGGGGGGGAGGCACGAGTAGGGGCGAGGTGCGGGACCCGGGTACCAGCCTGGCAGCCGCGGCCCGAAGCCGCGCACCTCCGCACGCAGAGTCACTCTTCCTCAGCCTGTGCGCCCTCTCGCTGTCTCTGCGCTTCGACCTTCCCTGCCGCCCAGAGAGGGCGGGGAAACCAGGCGGGGATGCGGGGTCTGGGCGGACTGGCTGGGGGTGAGCCGGAACGGACCTGCAGACCAGGCAGGCGCCCCGCCTCCAGGCTCCGGGCGCGGCGCGCATCCTCCGCCATTTCGCGGAGCGGGGAGGTGCGGTGGGAGCGCGGCCTCTCCGGCGGCCGGAGGCGGGAGGAGGGGAAGAGCCCCCGCGAGGGACCCGAGCCGGCTTGCCTTCTGCGCGCTCCAGGGGTGCGCCTGGCGAGTGGCTTCCGTCGTCCCCCTGGGGGTGTCCTAGCGTTAGTTTGTGAACCCCTCTTTAGGACTGGTCCAGCCAATGAAAACAGGAATCTGACCGGGCACACCTTGCAAAGAGACGGGGAGCCGGGGTTAACGGGATGTTTGGAGGGTAATACCGTTTGCCCCCCACCACACATTAGAATTCTTAGGATGTGGGGCTGACAGGGTAGCAGAACAAGTAGCAAGAAGGAACTGGAACCCAAAAGAATTTAATTTTTGCCCCAAGAAATGATGCCTATAAACACATCTGACACTAAAGAGGGAAGACTCTGGGTCCCTAACATGGGAGGTCCTGGGGTGAGGTGGGAGGTGAGTACTAGGCTCCTGTGGGAAAAGTCCACTGTTCTCCTCCCGCCTCCCAGCTGCCTTTTGAGGTCTGGCCCCCACCGGGGCACAGAGGAATGGGATGCACAGGGGAGCTTGGGGTGGGAGGATCCCAGGTCCCTAGGCCTGAGGTGCCCCTATTTCAGGGTCTTTTCTTCCTGCTGTGCACAGAGCCGCGCCCTCCTGCCTGGCTGAGCTCAGAGCTGAGTAAGAACTGTGCACATCACTGCAGATATGAAGTCAAAGTGAAGTCACTCGCCGGCAGGAGGAGGAGCTGCCAAGACAGGCTGGCTGGGGCCCTGCCAGCTAAGAAGTCCAAGCCAGCCTGTTGGCAGAGGGCCAGGGCACAGTGCTACCAGCTCAGGAGAGCCACCCTGCGGCCACCAGACCTTAGGTTGCCTGCCTCACCCTCCCAGGGCCTCAGGCTCTTGGACGTCTGGGGCTGGAGTTGGCTGTGGGGTCTCCCCTGGGTGTGGGCGGGCCCTACCTCTGGTGCTAATAGTAACCACCAAGGCTGAGCTGCTCAGGCCTGTGCACAGCAAGGGACCTGGGTTAGGAAGGGAGATCCCAAGAGAGACTTCTTTGTTACACACAGACTTCTGTGACAGGAGGATGCAGAATGAAGAGGGGTGGCCTGGTGCATTCTTTCCAACTGGCCCCACCCTTGTGGAACCGCCCCAGCCAAGCCTTGGCTGACACTGGTCAGGCCGGATGTCCAGTCGTGCTCTGGGTGACCACCTCAAGGGCCTGTTGGACACTGTGCTCCTGCCTGATCCCCTCAGGCCCTTCCTCTCCTTCTCCACCACCACCCTTGGGGGTCTTGAGAAGACATCTAACACTATGGTGGGGGTATTGCCTTCTTGGAAAAAAGTCCAGGGAGCCTCCTATGTGTAGTTCTATCCCCATCTGTGTATGTACACATGTATGCATGAGCATATACCTGTGTCATGTACAGGACACGGATGCACACTCGCCCCCATGTGTATGCCCAGAGACCTGACCAGATAATCATCCAGGAGAGGGCAGAGGTGAAGCGTTGGGCTTTCTGGCCTTGGGTCCTGCATATCTATGAGACCCCCATGAGTCCCAGACAAGGCCCATCTCCACCAGAAGGCCTGACGTCAACTCTTTGCCCCAGTCACCCTTCCATGGGCCACCCCAATGGAGTTGTTTTTCTCCTCTGAATTTCTGGCCCCACCTTGCTCTTTTCCCTTCCTTCCTCTGTTTTTCCTTTTCCTCCCTCGCCTGCTTCCCTCCCCCTTCTCTGGAAGAATCTCTTCTCCATTCCTCCCCTCAGCACAAGAACCAGGCTAGCTGCATCACTGGGGCCTCGGGGTCTTCATCATGTACTAGAACATGGAAGTAATAGTACAGTAACTACCTGGCAGTGCTGTGAGGCTGAACCCAAATGAAGCTTTGACAGAATCAGCACTGTTTCTGGCTCTCTAGAAAATGAGCTTTTTTTTTTTTTTGGCTCTTCTTCCAGGGGCCCTCTAAAGTCCAAGGTGCTGTCTGGATGGTAGGCTGGGGGCAGTGACCTGGTGTGAAGGTTGCAGGCAGGCTCTGAGTTGTGTCGCGGCCATCTCTCTCTGGTCTGTGTGACCTCAGCATGTTTGCAACATCTCTGGGTCTCAGGAAAGCAGAGCTCTCTCCCCTTAGGTGCCTGAGGACAGGTGAATCCGAGGCAATGGGCAGGAGCTGTCTTTGTTGTCACTGGATCCCGTCAGCTGTGGAAGCTGAGCTGAGGCGAGAGTGGCCAGTGAACCTTGCTCGGGTAGCACAGAACACAGGTGGCCCCTAAAACGGGCCGTCTGCTGCCCTCCGCCCTGGCTTCCCACCTGCACAGGTAGCAAGTCACACCTGCATGGGGCTGGCAGCCAGTGACACCAGCGCGCAGGAGCCAACGCCTGTCTGCAGCCCTCCCCACAGGGCCTACAGCTTTCTCAGTGGGAGGAGAGAGAGCCCTAAACCCCAGAGTCCTCTTTGCCACCGCAGCACTTATCTGAGCATGTAATTACACATTCGGGAGTGGTGGGTTGATTTATGCTCATACCTCACCCAGGCTTTGGGGGCTTTGCTCACATCAAGTCCCCAGCCCAAGGGTACCACTGGCTGGAGACTGCTGGAACCTAATGGGGCCTCAGGCCTGGCAGTGCCCACCTCTTGCCTCAAGGACACCAAGGAGAAGGACTGTCCTAGCTTACAAGCAAGCCATAGCAGTAACAGGGAGCTCGAATTGGCCAGTCCAACAGATATGGCCTGAATGCTCTTTAGAAAAAACATCTCCCAGGGCAGTTTCATAATCTGCCTCGTAATGCAGATTTAGACAAGTTTTTACGAATGCACTTTTTAAAATAGGTCTTAATGGATCCTTTGCAGTAGTTACAGCCCATTGTGTAAATGCAAACAGAAGGCTTTTTGAAAACATGTATTATTGATCAGAAAGGCAGCAGCAATTAGAAGCCAGTATGTCATATCATTCAATACACACTTCCTATACAGTCCTGCTTGTGCTCACTCATAACTTTCTGACAAATTATCCTGTCACTGGGAAGCCTTTTCTTTTCCCTTTTGCTTCTAGAAGCAAAGGCGAACCTCCCCATCAGTTATTAGCTAGAGGTGAATGAAAAATTAAGCTTACCTTTACCATCACAAAACCTATTTATGAATTCTCCAGTTTCCAGACTGAAATGACAAAAACTTCAGGTAAGATGGATGATGCCTCTCAATTTGTTCTGTGGCCCACAGTGGAAAAACAAAACAAAACTAGTGACAGGTAGCATATGCTACCTGTCATATTCAGGAGGGCAGAATCACAAAGCCAGGGAGGTCTGCCTTGTGGCAGGGTTGCTTAGCCAGGGTCTACAGGGAGGGGCCTTGGATGTCCCTCCCTGGTCATGTAACCTAAAATGATCAACAAGCATGAAGTTGAGCCTTGTTTTTGCTCAAAAATTCACATCCGAGTCTGTATTTCACCTGATCTGCACACTTAACATTTGCTCTTCTTCTTGAAAAGTTCATCTATTTAATAAATACTTGCTGGGCACTATTTTCCCGGCACCCTTTTCAAACTACAGTGAGCTAAGCCAAGACCCTTCCTTTGGGGTGCTTCTCAAGGACAATCGCCAACACATAAGGTACAGACACACAGAGCATTCACTAGTGACCCCAGATGGGGGGGGACATGGGGCCGGGTGTCTGTCAGGGCGGATGTCCCGGGGAGTTGACTTTGGGCAAAGAAGACAGAGCTCTGGGGATGGTGCTGCCCACAGGGAGTGGGGGAAGTGACAGGGTGGGCCTTGGGGTTTCCTCTGTTGCCCCAGCAAGGATAAGGGGTCTTTGTCTCCCCATGAAGCACCTCCTTGGCAGCCTCACCTCATCCCTCTAGAAGGTGCAGCTCTGGTCTCTGAGAGGGTTATAGCCTGCAGGATTGGCAGAGTGAATGCTCTGACCCAGGCAATCTTTTGGAGCGGAAAAAGCCTGCTGTGTTCTTGGTGTGCTGACAAATAGGAAGTCCATTGACTTAATGTCCTGTAATGGCTTCTAAGGCCTCCTTGCCCAGGATGGGGTGGGTGCAGCTCCAGGCACGGTGTGCTGCTTCTACATCCATCTCAGGCCTGTGGGTGCTGAGGCAGTGTGTGGGGGCGGTGCTGCTGTCCCTGGAAAGGAGGGGGAGGGGGGCCGGCCACCTGCCCGTGGGAGGGCATAACCTGTGTGGCTCCCCCAGCCCCCTGTCCTTACAGACAAGCCCATGAGCAGCAGGGCACTGACTGACCCCTGGTCTCCCCACCCCAATCCAGGAAGTGCTCCTAAAGACCTTGTTCAGTGATGGCAGCAG